AAGAGCCAAGGTTGCCTACCCCTGGAATAGACTCTCTTGAATAGAGTCTAATTCTATTGGCTTTCAAAAGCCAATAGGAATTGTCCAGGCTGTCTCTGCCCTGCTGAGCCCGCCAAAAGTCCCATTCTGCAAACGGTGCTGCACCAGTTGAGTAGTCCTTGACTTACGACCGGTTGAGTAGTCCTCGACTTACGACTGGTTGGGGGTCGCGGCATTAAAAAGGTTGAGAACCACTGCTGTAGAACCTGAAGAAGTGGGCAGGATTCTCCATAGTTTGAATTCTGCAACCTGTGGGCTTAACCCCTGCTCTTTCAGGCAACTTTGTGTGATTAGGCAGGTAGTGAAATATTGGCTGCAGGAAATATTTCTTCTTTGAGGGAAGGGATAGCACCATCTTCTTTGAGGGAAGGGATAGCACCATCTTCTTTGAGGGAAGGGATAGCACCATCTTCTTTGAAAGAGGGCCAATTAGGCTGTTCAGTTGTAGAGGGCATACTTTGGAACATCCTTTCCCCTGGAGGTACGTGTGCACTCCCAGGTATCTTTGGATTCTAACAAGCTAGCTGATTTGGTTGTGGCCTCCACTTAGTAATTTCAGATGTCTTAGTTGTTTTGGTCATTTTTATTTTTATTTTATTTTTTTGAGATTTCTGATTCCCCCCCCCCTCAACATTATGTATTTGTTGTGACTGTGAGCTGTATAGAGTAATTCAGGATTGGGCAGCATATAAATTATATTAAATATTTAAATAAATTTTGCTATTTGGGAGAATTAGATATTAAATAATACACAATTATTTAACTTCAGTGCCAGAAAGCCAATCTTCCTAAAATGATTTACTTGCTAACTTTGAGCCACATAATTTAAAAAAAATGCCAGATGGAATTATTTTTTTAATTAGTTCCTTTGTTGATAAAATCTGTGAATTAATTTGTCTATTAAGGCAAAGATCCACATCCATTTATAGCAACACCCAGTGGAATGCTATTGGTTTCTCTTCTGATATGACCCATTTTTTGGCAATAACATTATCACCAATAATACTTTTGGGGTTCATACAATATGTAAATCCTATTACATTGTTTATTTGGTTTGGGATGTTACCTAAAATCAGCCTTTGTATTTTATTCAGAAAACCTTGATTGAAATATGTCATGGCTTAAGACTGTCTAGATATGAACCCAGCTAAGCAATGATAATATACATTATCAATCTTAATAATTCTTTTTGCTCATGTTTGGTCTGAGAGCCTTCTTGAATGATAGTTCTTTTGATGTCTAGAAGACCCATCTTGTATTTTCCTAGTCTACACTTATTACAGAAGTTGTTATTTACTCATGTTGTATTTAGAACTTAATAATTCTTCAATTACTACATTATTTTTCTGCCATCACAATAAATCACCCTTGTCTTTTCCCACAAGTCTGATAACAAAAAACAAAAATCCTCATTGTGCTGGGTTGATATATGCATGCATGACTTTTACGTAATATTTTGACAATATAAATACGTACCAGTTTTCAGGTGGAAACCATCCATCCTTTGTTTTCTATAGTAATAATTTAAATCTGTTACTCAGGTAGCAAATTTATGTTCTAAAACAACTTTTTCCTGAAAAAGTTATTTCTGAATTCAGCATTCTCTTATTTTAACAATGCATTTTGGGAGCATAAACTAGAACTTAGAAGAGACAATTTGGTGCTATACTTAAGGCACAAGGCTATAAACTGGGAGAGTGTGAATTCTAGTTCTGCCTTAGGCACAAAGTCAGACCAGTCATTCCTAGACCGCATTTCCCAAACTCACAGGGACCCAGCAGTATATTTTATTACATAATATACAGAACTGCTGCAGGGCTATGGGGCACCATAGCACAGAGTTTGGGAACCACTGGAGTACTATGAACCCAGAAAATTTGGAAACTCTTAAGTTAAGGTTATTGGGTTGATACCAAAGGGAGTCTACCTCTAGGCATCATAACTCAAATCTGAGTGTTTTGAGGCAATCTTTTTTTAAGTCCAATCTCTTGTGTGTTGTGGAGGTGGGATAAATAAAAGATATGAAACTATGTACACCATTTTAAGCACCTTAATAAAAATGGGGTATAGATCTATATGAATAGAACCCATGAGTTTTGAATCCTTCTGAAGTGCTAGAGAACTATGGATAAGAAAGTTGAAATGTGAGATTTGTTATCTCAGATGTGGGCCAATAGAAATAAAACTGGTGATTGTGACATCCAGGATAGGAATCTTACAATGTCTTGGTAGACAGGTTAGAATCTGTTGCCTGATATTCCATACTGTCTTTCCTATGTTAGGAAATATTCCTCAGTGGAACACACTCTTACATCTGATATTTTAACATGCAGCATGTGTATTTCGATGAGGGAGTGACATAAAAGACTCCAAACTCAGTTGTGCTACTTGCAAATGATTGAAGCTAAAATCTTCATTCATGAAAGATATTATGTGATGCCACTAGTTTATGAACATGCAAACCACTATGTAAACTGTTTAACAGGAAAATAAAGGACCAATTATTGTTGTATTGGGATTGAATCTCTTGACATATGACTTGGGAGATACCATGAAGCTAGTAAAGAGAATGTTTAACTCTATCACTCTGTTCACTGTCCCTTTTATAGGTTAGTATATACAAACCCAATTGCTTGATTGAAAAAAACACAGTGCAAAGCTTTTTTCATGCATCAAGAAGTAGCACTGAGGGAAGAGACCAGCAGTGTAATTTGGAAAATGGCATGGAAGGAACAGTTAAAGGCCTCTCCACCTCCCATCCTGAGGAAATTAAGTCAAAATCATTGTCAACAGTCTATTACAGTATCATTGGTAATGAAGTTTAAGCCTTATTACAGTAGATGACACAATTCAGGCAGCAGCTTATTCATATTAAAGTCACAAGGGCAGGACTTAGCCAAGTACATTTTAGCCTAGTATATTGTGCAATTTTGTGGCTAAACATGCTTTGTGCATCGTATCCAGAAAGGGCTAAAAATACAAGAATACAAGACCAGCAATTAAATGTGGTTCACACCATCCATAGAATAATTGGTACAGAGAAAGAAATGTTGAGGAAATCTGTTTGCGGTGCTGACAGTTTACTATATCCTAGAGAGGAACATTAAAGTCTGGGGATATGTATGGTAAACATATCCCCAGGGTTTGTCCTTCCATCTTATCTTTACAACAATCCTGTGCTGTAGATTGGACTAAAAGTCAGTTGTGGGTTTCCATGACTTTGCATGAATTTGAAAATGGATCCCCTGCATGTTAAATGTTGCACAGTATCAGTGAACTAGTCCAGCCCACATGGGTAGTTCAATGTGGTATGGAAACCCAGAATGCTGGTTTGATTCCAAAATATGGTTAACCCTGGGGAAATGTATACTACAAACAGAATATAAGCTGCATATTTAAGTGTTCCTTCGTGCATAAAAATCCCTAGGGAAGGCAGTTGATGAAACAAGCTACAAAGGATTCAGCTATATTTTGAAACATTTTCCTTTTTTTTCCATTTGTTAATTGTGTAGTTTGACAATCTTTGTAAATGAAAACATATGCTCTAGTGTAAGCATTGGCTTATTATGTTAAATATACTGCTCCTTATTTAAAAACCAAATGTACCTTTATTTTTAATTCATGATTATGTTTTAACAGTTCATTAAAAAACCCACCAAACCATATTTCACCCTGGTGGCTTGCAGAAATCTAACCTAATCCATTTAGTTAGTTTATAGTTCACTAGGTCCTGCAAACAGATTGCATAAACCATGGTTAAGCAACCAGTAGGTAAATTATCATGCAAACACAGCCCATCTATTGTGCTCTAGGAATTCAGGAAGATGGTGTCAGTCCATTGTTGCACAAGTTCATCATCAAAACATTGTCTACTAAAACGGAACCATTTTTGTTGATTTTTTGTGACATTCTCTGGTAACCATACCAGTACTTAGCAGCCCATTAAATGTGCTCACATTTACCTGACTCCTTTGAAAAAGAAATATTGTACTTTTAAAAAACACAGCTCATTTCTAATTAAAGATTTGTTTTAAGTATTAAATATAATTGATGAGGGAGATGGAAAACTATTTGATCAGTGATATATTCAGTGCTTATTCATTTACAGTAGAATTCAATTTGAAGACTGAGTTTGTGGCTATGTAAGAGGTTTTTTCCCCCACCCCCAAATGGTCTGCAGTGCATATTCTAAGCTTCATCAAAGCTGCCACAATACTTAACAGTTAGCCTACTGACCTACTATTTCACATCTGCTTGAAAGGGGGGTTATATAAAAGACAAAAGGGCCAGATGAGGCCTTGCAAAAAGACTACACCAAGAAAAATACTGTTCCTAGTGTGTATTTCTGTTCTTAGTCTCTGTCCAGTTTTTGTAATTAGGTCTTCTGCAATTGGTTATGGGCTACTAGAAAAGGGAAACAAGTTTAACATGCTTGTTATTTTGGCAATGAACCAAGTTAAGAACATTTATAGTTTTTCAAAGATTGGAATGAAGATAAGCCTGATCTAAGTCCTCAGTTATAAAATCCATTTGGAAACTCTGGAAGTACCCCAATCAGAACTGAAGGGATGTGAAGACAGGAATTTCACATTGCAAGGTCTCACTGATAGGACAGAATGGTTAATGGGACCTTTTAAAGCACATTCCTCACACTGCATTTCCCCTCTAATGGCCTTCTCTGAGCAAAAGCTCATCTCCCATTCTAGTCTTTTGGCCTTTCACTGAAAATGCTATTAACATTTCTTTAATACATGCCTATTCCTAGAAAGCATGCAACCATAGAACACATCCAAAGATGCACAAAGAGATGAAGCTTCAGCTGGCGGGGAGGGGAGGGGAAAAGGACACATTTCTGTTTTAACAGCTCTGCATATAGGAGACCCATCGTTGTAAAATATTTTCATTTGACAGGGCAAAAATGCACAGCCAGAAAGTCTAAAATAATGACAATAGAAGCAGGGTTTTAGGGTTCAGTTCCAGCTGATTTTATTTCCTTCAGGGAAAAGGTTATTTACAGAAAGAATATTGACAATCTGACAGGCAGTGAACTTGGCTTTATTAGCCAGATTTTTCTCCCCTCCCCACCCCAACATTGTATTATGGGCAGATCCTTAGACAAAGATATTCCACACAGCATATTGCACAGGATGGATGAACAAAAAACTAAAAAGAAAACCGAAGATAAAAAACCCTTAACGGAACCTCTTCATTAGGCAGATATGCTCATGCCTGTCATGTTATATTAACATACATAAACACACAATCTTTTTTGCTTATTATTATACAGACTTAAATGTACAAAGATGTTTTCACTTTTTCTCATCTTAAACACAACAGCTATAAACCTGAATACATATGCTATCATCATGCCATAAGAGACTAAAACAATTATACTTAGCGACAAGTATAAGGATTAAATAGTCAAATACAAGAATGAAAAATGCAGTACATAGTGTTGCGAACTCAAATCGGCATTTAGATAGGTCCAGTGATTTAAATGGCATGTTTTTATTTACTTTGTTTTTGCTTACAAAAAGTGCAAAAGATGTGGTTTTGAAGTTAAAGCTACAGGATCCCTTTTTCCTGAAAAATATTCTTGTTTTCTCTGTACAATGTAATGTTCATTGAGGGAGGATTTGTTAGAAATTAGCCCTACAGTGGATTAGAGTTCAATCCCTCTCTCAACTCACAAATAGAGTTGAATGGTAGACAGAACAGATACTGTCTCTTTAAGAAGCCTGCAGATTGGAGTGTAAACATGATGAAAGTAGGGACTGATTTTGTGTGAGAGAGATTAACCAGCAGCCCTATTTATAATCAGGAAATCCAAAACAGCAATTTACACCCCTTATATATTTTTTACAAAAATACACTGAGAAAATAATCAAACGTTTTCATCTTCTCTTCTGTTTTTAAAAGTGTCAAAAGTCTACATTTAAATATAAAAATTAAAAGTTAAAACTCTAGCCCTTCAGTGAAGGTGACATAAAAATGGTGTGGGTAACAAACAGAACTACCAAAAAAGGACAAAGGAATACAAGTAAAAAACATTTGGCCAGTATAAATACTTCACTTATAAAATGGCATCCAATTCCATTTAGAAAGAAAAAAAATTCAAGAATGAATCCTGGTGTGAAAAAAAGTCATTTACAGCTACAGAGGAACACACACACACACACACACACACACACTGAGGAAAAATTTGGTCCTGTGTTCTTTTTGAAGTCCAGCACAGATTTGAGTTGCGTTTGAATCCTTTAAAGAGTTAAGAGTGAAAAAAAGCTGGTGATAATTTTTGAAGGAATCAAACATAGCGCCATCTATCTGCTTTTTATATTATTCTAACACTATTTTTAAACTGTTCAACAGTCTTACAAAAAAACTCCAAAAGATAGGATAACATGCTATATTAAACCCCACCAGAGAAATAATCCAACACCATCACGATTCTGAGTAATAAAAACACATTTTTGCAAGAAAGAGCAAACGCCCTCAATTTCCCCTGTACCACATTATTACAGTTGTTATGTTCTATATCTGTCTCCATTTAAAAAAAGTTATGTGTTGCTGAAAGTCCACATATGATTTCTATGAATATAAGGTAATCCGGCAAAGAAAATCACCTCCACTTTCTCCCACATACGTGCAAATCCTTTTCGGTGTTATTGTTTTCAGCCGAATTTCCAGTTCGTTTTCAAATGCTTGTCTCTCCTTTTCATTCCATTTAGGATTCAGTCCAGTTTCCAGGGCCATCCTCTTTCTCCATCCCTTTTGATGTATAAAAAAAGAGAACCTTCCAAAAATGCAAATTGACTGCAGGTCTGCAGATTTGTTTTAAAGCAGACGAGCTTTTGCTCCTAAGCCAAAGACATATCTAATACACATTAGCAGAATCTACCTTCCTCCCTCCCTCCAACTCTTTCCAACGACAAGCAAAGATATGCTCGATTTCCACCCCCTCCTGCTGTAGTTGCCATTCCTATTTAAGCCACTAGATTCTCACCAGAGTCTGAAACGTGCTTCTCATTCTTCGGCTGCAAAAGAAGGATGAAACGTGAACAGAAAAGGGGGTGGGGATCGATTTAGTCCCGTGTTATTTCTGTGGTAGCTTTTTCGGTGAAGAGCGTGTTGATCCCTTTTGCCGCGTTAGCGCAAATAAAAAAAAAAAAACCAACCACCACGCGCGTACACACCCCCTCAAGTCAGTTTCAGTAACGTGGGGCGGGGGGCCATACTCAACGGTGGGTGAAATGCTCGCTCTCCAGTTTTGCAGCGCGTCTGGGATTGAGCGCCATGTCCGTGTCTCTTTTCTTCCCCACGCGCGCCGTTTGCTCTCCTCTTAATCCTTCGTTCCCCCCCCCCGCCCCAACTCAGTACGTAAATACCAAGTTGGAAATGCTGGATTCGAGCCAGTCTCCCGAGATCATCTCACTTACCTCCGGGGTACAATAGTCTGGGAACTCAAAGTGAGAGCCCGAGCCAGGCTCCAAGTTAAAATCCAGATCCCTGTCGAGGACCGAGGAGCTCAGACTCCCCATCGCCATGCTGTCGAAGCCCGGGCTGGGGTTGAGGTCCAACAGGTCGTCTTCGAACTCGTCATCCGAGGAGGAGGAAGCGCAGGAGGCGGAGGAGGAAGCCGACGAAGAGTGCGAGGTCGAAGGTGTCGGCGACGGCGCCCGCAGGCTGGTGTAGCTTCGGTGGTCCGAGGGGGAGTAATTGCCCACGGGGGAAGACGAGGGCTCGCCCCCGTCCTGCCGGGCGCCCACCGCCGCTACTTCATCGTAGAGACTCAGCGGGTCACTTGCTTCTGTTGAAGTGCTGAGGGTCGGGCTGGCCGGAACGGCGCCGCCGGGCGACGAGTGGGAGAAGAGGTAGAGCCGCTTGGCCTTCTTCTCGGGGAGATGTCGGCTACTGTGGCTGCTGCTGCTGCTGCTGCTGCTGCTGCTGGAGGGCGAGGAGGAGCCCGGAGAGGCGGCGCGGGATTTGTATAGAGAATGGTGCTCTGGGGGCAGGAGGGAAGCCGGCTGTTCCGATGGAAAAGAGGACGGAGCTTTTGCGCCGCCGCCGCTCGGGCTGAGTTTGGGATGCGGTTTGCCGGCGCCACTGGGAGAGAGTTTGGCGGCACTGCCCTTTTTCTGGGCAAGCTTGGAAGAGTTGGAACCAGCAGCGGAGGCGGCTGCTCCCTGACTGCCGCCGCCACTCCCTCCACCCCCGCTCTTCTCACCCGGCTTCCCAGAGTTCGTGCCCGACTTCACCTTCTTCCTGGGTCGGTACTTGTAATCGGGGTAGTCCGCCATGTGCTTGAGGCGCAGCCGCTCCGCCTCCCGGATGAAAGGGATCTTGTCGCTGTCCTTGAGCAGCTTCCAACGCTTGCCTAAGCGCTTGGAGATCTCAGCGTTGTGCATGTCCGGGGACTGCTCCATGATCTTCCTCCTCTCGATCTGAGACCACACCATGAAGGCGTTCATGGGCCGCTTGATATGCCCGCTGGGCGTCTTGCACCAGCTCGGATCGTCCGCTTTGCCCCCTGTCGAAGCAGTCGAGCCCGGAGTGGGAGAAGAGGCGATGCCCAGCTCGATGCTGGCCCCGGAGTCCGAGCTCTCGCCGGCCAGGAGGGCTTCCGTGTTCTCCGCGTTGTTCGTCTGTTGCACCATTTTGGGGGTTGGCGCGCGCCGCAGCGGCTGCGGGGAAGTCGGTGGGGCTCAGCTTGGCCACCCGCTTGAAACAACTTTGCCGGTCAGTCGGAGCTCTCAAGCCCCCTTCGCGAGTGCTTCGTCCCCCGTTACTTAAGGCACGACTCCCTCCGGGAAGTAGTTGTAGCTCCACACCGCGCTTGCCTCTCCAACACTTGCGCACGCCTCTCACCGCAACTTTGCACTGCGAGTTTAAGAGCAGACTCCCGGCTCTAAGTGGAAAGAGTGCCTTTCTTAAAAAAAAAAAAAAAAAAAAAAACAGCCGCCAATCCTAGTTCTCTCTCTCTCTCTTTTCCACCTCTTCCCCCACCCTGGCGTTCACAAGTGGTTTTTTTTTTTTTCTGTCTTTCACCCTTCTAATACTGTACTCGAGGTGTCTCGGCAGAAGCAGCACGCCCACTGCTAAAAATCTTGAGGATACATACAAAAATACCCACTAAGAAAAAAAAATGCCCACGTCGCCAAGCAAAACCAGTAATAAAAAAATCTTCGTCCAGAACTCGTAATTAGAGGGATCAAGAGTTTTTTCTATGATTATTTAGCGGCTGCCAGGGAGTTAGCTGAGGATAAAAAGCCCCGCTCATGCAACCTAGTAGCATTAATAATCGTGTGTCTTCCCAATAGGAAAAACAGTGACTGGTGCAGAAAATATATAGAGTCCCATCTTGCTCGCCTGTAGATGCACAGCCCCCCAAAAAGGAAAGAGACATGTACAAACCGGGACTACAGACTTGGCCTCTTCCCCGCCCCACTACATACACTTTCCCTTGCTGCAGCTTAGAGCGGCGCTCAATTCCGCCTCGTGGAGCTTTATCCTTCCTCAGCTCTTTTCTAAGCCAATCATAGACTGTATCCAACGCTCCATCGTGCCAAAACCCCGCCCTTCAGTTCCGATTGGCTTGGAACCCAATAACCGTGTGCAATGAGAAGCTCCAAATCTGACCTCATTCCAATTTACACAAACTTTTTAAAAGGGCCAGAAGTGCAACTGAGATTTCTCTCCTCTTCTCCCCCCCCACTTCCCTGTGTGCGCGCCTGCGTGTGTATTTGTGGTTGTGTGCGTGCGCGCGAGAGACAGCACGCTAGACACAGACCTAGTATGAGGAGAGTGACTGAGCGTGTAAGGGGGGGGGAGAGAGAGAGAGAGAGAGAGAGCAGCCACGCGCCTGTGCGAAACTCTACTCCAGAAAGGGGTGGGAAAGAGACATCTCTGCCCGTTATATTAGAGGGGGATGGAGAAAGGACGCATTCTGTGCTGGAAGCTTCAGTATCTGCATAAAAGTAAAAGTGAGTACTTGCCTTCCCTCGCCAAGAAAAAAAAAAAGACACGTGCTTTTGTTTTATCTTATTCTGAGACTTGATGAAGAAACACACCATTCGCCGCCAATACAATTAGTATCCTCACCCTCTTACATTTTTTCCTAAAGATCCATGCGAGCAGGGCATGTTTTTTCCAATTAAAAGATTCTGACTTGTATTATATCTAATTAAATCTACAAACCAGTATTTACACTGTAGAATACTTGCTTCTTTGCAGTATTGTTCTTCAAACACCGCAGCTTCCTGTCTAGTTCCTCCTGGTCTGCCTGATAAATGTTGTCAATCGGCTGAAGCTCTTAACCTTCCCCCGTCCCTCCCTCCCCCCCAGAAGGCCTAGAATCTAGATGGATTAGATTGTACAAGGGGCAGTGTTGTATTTCACAAATTACAATATGGAGAGCAGTTCCTTCTCCTGTCCCTTTGCTCCTTCCCCCATCATCTTGGGGAAGGCAAAAACCCCTGGGAAAGATCTGATCCAGCAGACTTGTAAACAGAACAAAGATTGGTTTACAGGGCAAATAATGCAATTAGTATCATATAGTTTCCTGCGTTTCTCACTGCTGTTCAAATATGTTACATCTTAACTTTCTAGTTCCCCTGTATATTCCCTGATCTCTATTAATTCCATGTGAATCAAACAGGCTTAGCAGTACTCATTAAATCAATGTATGGGGATGAATTATGTGCTGAAAGACCATTATCCCTTTCGTCTATTAGTATTGACAGCAACTAACAGTGGCCCTTGAAGACTTTTTACCTCAAAATGCCAAGATGAAACTGATGCTTCAATATGTGTACAGTATCTAGGTATGTGTCTAAAGTACAAACCCTTCACAATAAAGGTATGTATGTTTGTGTGTTTGTGTGTGTGTGTGTAGATAGATAGATAGATAGATAGATAGATAGATAGATAGATAGATAGATAGATAGATAGATAGATAGATAGACAGATAGATATAGATAGATATAGATATACATATAGATATAGATCAGTGGTTCTCAACCTGTGGGTCGGGACCCCATTTGGGGTCGAATGGCCATTTCACGGGGGTCGCCAAACAACGCAGTCTGCCATTTTTTTCCCCCTTAGCTGTGCTACTCCCTTTTATTCTATTGGCTTTTGAAAGCCAATAGAATAGACTCTCTTGAATAGAGTTTAATTCTATTGGCTTTCAAAAGCCAAAAGGAATTGTCCAGGCTGTCTCTGCCCTGCTGAGCCCATCAAAAATCCCATTCTGCAAACGGTGCTGCACCAGTTGAGTAGTCCTCGACTTACGACCGGTTGAGTAGTACTTGACTTACGACTGGTTGGGGGGTCGCGGCATTAAAAAGATTGAGAACCACTGATATAGATAAAACAAATCTGAAGAATGAAAAATTGTGATCAAAAGACAAGGAGGCAACAGCACACCTGACTTTCCATAGTTGTAGCTAAACTGTAAACTTATGATTATAAGCCGCCTAGAGTTGCCTGGGCAAGATGGGCAGCACAGAAGTCTAATAATAGATAAACAAAATAAACTAGAGGAGTGGAATGGGATATCTTAGAGAGGATACCTGCCCCTTTCTTTATAGTGGTTTGGTCCACTATATTCAGAACCCACCTGAATTAGGTGGCATCACAGCAGCTGAAAGTTAGGTGTCCAAAACCCTCAAATCACTGGACTGATGAAAAATCTCTCCCTCCTTTTCTTCTCATCCTAAGTAATTAGAGATAATTATTTAGCTATTTATAAAGAGAAACAGAAAAGGCAATAAATACTGCTTTTTCCATATGTTTGGTCTGCTAGTGGGTCATCCTTGGGCCTATTCCACTTTTGGACTACTTTACTATAAAACCATTATAGATGTATTGTAGATAATGACTGGCCAGCCCAACAAAAGTTCAGATAGGCTGCCAATAATGTCAACTTCACACTGCTAATAAGCAGCATTCCAGTTGCTATTTATGTCAGTTTAAGCAAATATTTGAAACCATGGAGCCAGAGTGTTGAGGAGACAGAAACTGCTCCCAAGTCACAAAGCAGGCAGAAAATAATTTGCAGAAATGTTGATTTTTCATTTTACCAAACATTTTTTCTAAACCAAATGATATAAAACAGCAATACACTGTCTGAAGAGAAGCATTGTAAGAGACTGATCGCACCGGATAGTAGTATCATATGTCTAAAAACTACTTTCTCAACCCCGTCGCCCCCACCCAAGAAGCCTACTGACTATCAATGGAAATAATTCTGAACTAGATGTGTAGGGATCTTATTTAATAGAAGACTATTGCCTATGTTCCGCTCCTAATAAACTGCATCTAAGTAATTAATGTATGTTAAATAGAATTGGTACTGTCTTACAAAACTAATTTAAACTATCTGTTCAGTCTCATAAAAGAAATCATATTTTTATAAAATTATAATAAAGTAAAAGGAATATAATTAAGGGAATCCCAGGCCATCTTCCAAGACCTTAATCATACAATCAGTAAAATTGTATTCAAATATTAACATTGTATTAAAGTCATTAAATCAATCTCCAATCGTCATTTTTTATGAGAATAAACAGATAAAATGCTACCAATTCAGGATTGGTTCAGGTTAGCCAGCCTTAAATATAGTTTCATATATTAAGGGCTATTGAGCTCTTAATTTGTTGGCTCTTGATGCACAATATGATATATGGAATAAGTTTGTAGCTGGAATAAAACATTCTTTAATTTAAAAAGAGTATTAAAAACAAGTAATGCACTACCAATTACATTTAGATTGGATATTTTCCTAAATACATCTGTCAGATTTTTTGTATATGTTTTAAAAATGTTATAATGCATGTATAAGATATCAGTTGAAGTTATCCATTTTCTAAAGGATGGCTTTCTAAATCTTATTTCTAGATCTAGATAAATCATCTAACTTTAAGCTCATAAAGCTAAACGTTGTATTGACAAAGTCTGGTCACTGTCTGCAATGTACCCATCTGTAGGACAATTATAACAAACATATTCATGCCCTCATTGTTTTTAGACTGCTTTTAAGTTCAATAATTATTTTCTTTAATTGCTACTTTTGTTGTTGCTACCAGATGTGAAATTTCTACCTGATTTTATTGTTTTTAAACTGTTTTAAATCCTTAGGCCTTCAAATGGATTGAAAAGTTGGGATTAAGAGCATCATCTGGGGAAGGTGTGTCAAAATGTTCAGATAGAGCATGAGTGTCAAACTTGATCGCTTCACATGACATATTGTGATGTATTGCAACTATTTTTGCCTTTATAGAGCCGAGGTGGGTATGGCTTGCACTTGATGCATCTGGTCTGCTGGCTGCCAGTTTGACACCCCTGAGATAGAGGTCACAGCAGTGCAACCCATTTGTATGTGTGTCAAAACACATGCATTTCCAAGGGTGTAGGGTTTGCATCAGTTCCATGACTGGCTTTTTTTTTTTTTTAACACTTCCTGAGAGATACCACTGGAGAGTATATATATGTTTTAACATATAAATCAGGCTGCACAACTTAACAGCACTTCAGTTTCTTGCTTTTCATTTACAGAAATAGAATACTGTATACAAAATTATTTGCCTACATTCTGTTGTAATGAAATTATACAAAAATGAGGTCAAGCAAAATATTTAGAACGAAATGTTTTTGAAAGAAAGTCCATTGGAATTCCTAGGTAACTATGATAATTTGAACCAAGGAATCAATTCAATGTCTTATTTGTTTATTTGCCTATTTAATACATTTATATGGCTGCCTATTTCATATGCATGATTCTGTGCAGTTAACATGTATGCTGACACCCATTCCTTCTCCCTCCTATGTAGTGTCCCTATACATGTCCCACATCTTCTCTAGCGTCTCTGCAACTCTGCAGATGGGAAGATGGGTAGATGCCATAAAGTATTTACCCCGCCAGAAGCATTGATTCTGCTCTGGATAAATATACTTAGAAATATCTTCAAATATTCCAGTAATACAAAATGACAGTAATTTTACTGGCACCATTGTTTTCTAAGTACCCAGTCCTAAATCCATTTACATTAAAATCCCATTTGTGTAAATGATATTAATTTCTAAGAAAGTGCATTTAGGAATTCTGCCTAAGTGCTTACTAAGCCCACTGGAATAAAAAGCCTGCAAAGATGCAAATCAACTACTAAATTTCTTATGCTACACATATAGCAGTAATTTCACCGTGAACATATCCAACACCTAAATACAAGCATATATTTTCTTTTGTGTACTGCCCCTTTCACAAACATTATTCAATAAATGCAAGTATAACTGAACATAGTCAATATTAGTTACTAATGAATACATCCTAGCAACTCTAACATATGTTTGTAAGGTTTAATTTCAGCCTCATTTTTTTCTCCAGTCCTGGCTAGTTTATTATTCTAGAAAAATATATTTTGAAGTAGATTGACCCACTGTACTCACTATTTATTGGACATACTGCTGTGGGATCATTTACACATACGGTAAACCATAAATTATGTTTATGCCACAATTATTGGGTTCACTTATCATGTAAGCTAAAATCAGCCTAAAAGTATATATCAAATCAAATGAAATCGTTATTATGGTCAAAGACTAGCATAAGCCCAAAAGTATATTCATTCAATAAGATGAAAACACAAATTAGGGTAAGGAATGTATTATTCACAAGTGAACAGTGGGAATTAACACAATCTGAGTTCAGCTGATAATGCAGAATCACCTATTATAACTGCATCTTACCTGAAACCTTACAACAGAGCAAAATTACTAGGAAGGGGAATTGAAGGAGAAAGTAACAGATAAGAAATTACTCAACACTTTCTTTCCCTTACTGTCCTTCTGCTTCCAAAGAACTTACCTATCATACTGCTTTGTAATTAAGAACACACACACACACACATATACACATATGTACACATGCATGTGTGCATGCATGCATGTTACATTTAGTTCAGTGCTTATTTGGAAAGTGTAAGACAATAACACACATGAATCAACTGAGACACATCTGTTTTATGTGCTAAATAGAATATGATATTTACTAGTAATAATCAGGATGGTTGGGTTTATACTTTTGAGCACAATCAGCTTTCAAAGTTGTTGTAAGAAGGCACTTTAGTATGTCCAATCTGCCCTGATTCTTCAACATATTCATTTATAGCTGCTATAATTGATCCAGGCATGATAACTGTTGCCAAGAAAAGCATTAATATACAATTTTTTGAATGAGCATAACAATCTATGACCTGGTTTCCATGTTGTGCTAAGGCATGATTTGTTTAGCAATGGTTTAGAAAATAAATTACAACTGGGTTATTAAAAACCCTAACTCCAAGATTCACCCATTAGATTTAGCCAAACTAAATAAATACGTGGTGATTTACTATATGAACTCAGCCAGAGAATTATCATACACGCCACATTATGAATTTACACTGCTGGGTAAGCATATATTATTCTATATAAGTGTAAGCTGTAATAACTTAAGTAGCAGCTTTATCTTCATAATGAATGAGACAAGCAGGCTCATCATTCATTTTTATCCACCATCTATTGGAGAAAGCATAATTTTCAAGGGGTAACTAAGAGTCTGTGACTGTTGTAGGAAGGATAAGTGGTGAAAGGCTTCTGAAGAATACACCACCATAAGGTTTTTAAATTACGCTTTTTTTTTTTTTTGCTTCCTGGATAGCCTTAATCTTGGAAGTTTGTATGTCCCCAGTGTATTTGCTTGTGCTGGTCTTTCAGGAGATCAGACTGTAACCTGAAAAGGGATAAAACTCTTCACTCTTTTCAGTTACTTTGTACAGATAAACTCAGTGCATCATCTGCATATAAAGACAATTTATAGTGCATTGTGAATAAAGCTTCTAAATTGAAGACATTTTTGTCTTACAATTTAACAGCTTTATCTACCCACAATGTACCATAAATTGCAATATATTTAAAATCAGTTGTTCTAAGTCATAAATTTAGGTTGCAAATGTAAACATTTTGAATAGTGCAGAAGATACATTGTAAGCTATTCATTCACTTCTTTCTTTGGGTAATTTAAATTAACAATTGTTCATTTATAGTTTTTTTAAAAAAACAGTAAGTGGGATCAGTAGCTTAGTGATTAAATCTATCAATAGTGATGCTGTTAAATAGTATCTTGGAATCTAAAAGAATGGGAATGTGTGGTTTCAGTTCTGAAATACAGTTCCTGTATTTCATTGGTAGTTTGTGGCGATCAATTTACTGAAGTTCCCTGTTCACAGTTGGATCTTTCATTGTTTATTAGGCTGCTTGGCAATTATGTCATAAAACAGATCACTAGGTGGCAGTACAAAGCCTCCTCTGTAAAGAGTTAAGTTATGGAAAAATTTGGACACAATTAACGCAAGGTATTTTTTCCCTGAGTTATTGAACAGAATTCAGTTACATGTTTCTGACATGCAAATGTTTTTACAAACACTTTCTTAAGAGAAAATACTCTAATTAATTCAAGGGTTTGTCTAGATGTAAGTAACTCACTTCATTTTCTGCAAAACAATAGCACTTATCAATTATGATAAAACATAAAATTCTGTAAAAGGGTCAATCTTCAACCTATCTTTTGATACTGAGATGTAATAATAATAATAATAATAATACACCCCAGACTTAACAATTGTCATAAGAAAGACAAAAAAGTCTGGATAGTGGACGTGGCAGTGCCTGGAGACAGCAGAATAGACGAGAAAGAACTGGAGAAGATAACAAAATACAAAGACCTACAAATAGAAATAGAAAGACTGTGGCAAAAGCAAGCAAGGGTAGTACCAATAGTAATAGGCTCCTTGGGTGCAATCCCAAAACAACTGGAGCACCACTTGAACACCATTGGCATTGACAAATTCGCTATTAGTCAATTGCAAAAGGCGGCCTTACTAGGAACTGCTTCCATCCTGCAATGATATCTGTAATACCATCAAACATCCACATCTGCCTATCCCAGGTCCTGGGTAAGGACTTGATAGGGTCACAAAAATGCCAAATCCAGTCTGAATATCTGGCTGAGTATGCAATGATTAATAGTAATAATAATAATAATAATAATAATAATAGTAATAATAGAGTTGGAAGGAAACCTGGAGATCTTCTAGTCCAATCCCCTGCTCATGCAGGAAACCCTATACTGTTTCAGACAAATGGTTGTCCAGTCTTTTCTTAAAAACTTCCAGTGTTGGAGCATTCACAACTTCTGGAGGCAGGTTGTTCCAGTGATTAATTATTCTAAGCGTCAGAAAAATTCTCCTTAGTTCTAGGTTGCTTCTCTCTTTGATTAGTTTCCATCCATTACTTCTTGTCCTGCCTTCAGGTGCTTTGGAGAATAGCTTGACTCCCTCTTCTTTGTGGCAACCCCTGAGATATTGGAACACCTCTATCATGTGACCCCTCGTCCTTCTCTTCATTAAACTAGACATACCCAATTCCAGCAACCATTCTTTATATGTTATAGCCTCCACTCCCCTAATCATCTTTATTGCTCTTTTCTGTACTATTTCTAGAGTCTCAACTTTTTTACATCATGACCAAAACTGGATGCAGTATTCCAAGTGTGGCCTTACCAAGGCATTGTAAAGTAGTATTAACACTTCACGTGATCTTGATTCTGTCTCTCTGTTAATGCAGCCTAGCATTCTGCTGGCTTATATTTAAGTCATTGTCCACTAGGACTCCAAGAGCCCTCTCACAGTTACTACTATTGAGCAAGGTACCACCTATATTGTACCTGTGCATTTGTTTTTTCTTACCTAAATGTACGCCAATGCTCCAATTGCCCTAATGAATGACCTAAAAGGGGGGGGGCTGATGCTGATTAATCAATTAACAGAAAACAGGGAGTCTGTCTCTCAATCCCTCTCTGGAGGTAAGTCCATCTTGGATATAAAAGAGGAGTCATAACCTCCAATGAGGACCTAAACAGGATTTGGTGAAGCCTTTGGACTGAGGGAGTGAAGTTGGGAAAAGTAGCCAGGCAGAAATACTTCCCACCCCCCACTTCCCTCATGTACTCATACATACACTCACAACTTTATTCATAAGTATCCAAACTGGTGTTTTAGTTGTCTATAATAATTAAAACCACACCTTTTTTTTGTTTTTTTTTAGAATGATAGGTTTATTTGTAAAAAAATTATGTAATGTTGAGTTAATCTAATAAGATGATCTGTTTGTTTGATAATATTGATGTGATTAGTTATGAAAATTAACTGGATGAAATTTGAATTCTGTCAAATGGATTGAAATGATTTAAGGTTGGACTTTATTTTGTCATTTTAAAGAGATTGATTGATTGATCGATTAGATACGTATAGGATAGATTAATACTTTATTTTAAATATGGGATATTAATGGAAGAAATAAATAAGATCTATGATAAAATTAAGGAATTAGAATATATTTGGAAGGGATACCTGAACTGATAAGGTTTGTACTTAAAGTTATTTTGATTATGGTAGTGTAAATTTATAAAGCTTTAAAAACAGGTTTAGGTTGAATAAATTTAAGCTAGAATTGGGTTATTTTAAATAAAATACCTTACTTAAGGGAAAAAGAGAGGGATGTATTTGATGTATTCATTGAATTATGTATATATGTTTTGTTTGTGGATGTTTGACCACCCTAACACCACAGTGTGTCTTGAGTACTTTGTTTCAAAAATCAAAAAACCAATAAAACTTGTCTTAAAAAAAATAATTAAAACCACACCCTGGCATTTTTAAGAATGTGCCAACATCCAGAGGCAGCCTTGCTCCACCCAGGCTCTTAGCTTACAAAAGCAAATGCCAAGGCATGAATGGAGAGGTATGTGTAGGAAGAAAGGTGATAAGCAAATGGACAGGGAAGCAGAAGCAATGTTTGGAGATGAGCAGCTATGAACAAGCAGGCAAGAGGACTTTCACTCATCTGCCAGGACCATGAGCAACATACCCTGGTGGGAGTCCTGCCCGCATCATAGACCTTTGCCAGGAGCTCAGTAGCAACCAGAGAAAGAACTACCACATTGAGGCAGCACTTCATCCCAATTAATATAAGAACTTTTGGAAGAAGGCAAAGGTTGTAAGCCACTTTACAGACTTTTTGAGACTATTATTTACTTGGCAACATCATCTTGCAAAGCCTAAAAGAATAGAGAGCAATAGTCTGTTGTTGGAGAAAGCGTGTGCTGCAATAAGCATGTGTATAGATTTGTTGGGCTGCGGTGTGTCCAGTTCTTAGAAAGCAAAGAATCCTCATATGGATCACATAGTCCATATCTTTCCATTTCAAAAAATCCCAAAAGCACTGGTAATTTTGGACAGTTGGACAGTTCTCAGAATTGGAGCATTTAAATATGAGTGAAGGGTTAAAGGGTGCCCCGGGGGAGGGGAATACGTGCCTTCAAGTCCATACTGATCCTGGCAACTGCCTGTAGAAGTCTCTGCAGTTTTCTTGGGAAGATTTTAGAAGTAGGCTACTTCCTAGGGCTGAAAGCGGGTGACTGGCACAAGGCAGGACTAGCACTCGGGGTCTCCTGATTTCTAGCCTGGTCCCATAACCACTAGTTCAAACTAGCTTTCTAAAAGGTTGATATTCCATTGAAATGCTAGTTTCAGCAGAGGAAATAATGCAGTCCTCAGATAGTTTCATCCACACCATAAAGCAGCTCATTTGGGTTTATTGCATTATATGAACTTGAATATGATTTATAAACAATGGCTTAAGAATTAATATGTTGTATCAATCCAGCTTATTGTGATTTATTGAATAAAGCAAACCACAGCTTGTTAGTTATTCTTGCTTGGAGGTCTCCGTGGCTGCATATGCAGGTCATGAACAGAACCACTTGTACACTTAGGTGGTAAATGGGGTAGGAAGATTGTAGATTAGTGGGAAGTGACATTAGTAGTTTGCCTCCTGGTAAATGGGTGCTGGATGATGTCTCCCAACCGCCATAGCAGCCATTTTAAGCATGATCGTGGTTTTAGATTTTGCTGTCTTAAGGCTGGGGAACCCCAGACAAGGGTGCGGCATAGATCAGTACTTCATTATAAATATTTCCACCTGTACATATTTTATCTTTTTCTTTGCTTTATTTGTAAAGATGCCCATTCACTCAGTAATACAAGACAGCTTTTAAAGGAAGAAAGAAACAAAAATACAATTAAATCTTAAATCACTCTTTCAGCCCAACCCACCTCACAGGGTTGTTGTGAGGAAAGTAGGAGGGGGAAGGTGTAATGGGTATGCCTCCTGCCTTGAACTGTTTGTAAAAATAATAAGAGTGGAATATAAATAAATAAAATTACCTAAAAATGATTAAAAACGCAACTGAGAAAATTCAAATGCTTAGGCAAACAAGTATTTTGAGCTCTTAGCTAAACCATACATAGTTTTATACATTATTGTGAACATTGGTGAACCTTTCTCAGTAGGCAACTGGCAACCATTTAAATTATTTTTACATAGGGGATACCTGGGACTCTCAGGAGGCACCACATACCATCCATGTTGCTGTATGCTTGGACCCACTGTAATTTTCTAGTCTTTCTTCAAAAACCACTTCACAATAAGCACATTGTGGGAACATTACAATAATCTAACCTGGGCATTACTTTATTAGTTTAGTATTTTTCAACCTTGGTAACTTGAAGATGCTTATATTTCAGCTCCCAGAATTCCCTGGCCAGCATGCAATTCACACATCTTCAAGTTACCAAGGTAAATCATGCTTTAGTGCCTGAGTCACTATAGCTAAGCCTCTTTTCTCCAAATAGAGATTGAAGGAAAGGCCATTAATGTTACATGGTTATCAAGCAATAATGCTGAATCCAGGAGGATCCCCAAGCTACCTTAGTGCCAGCTCAAAGCAGAGTGCAAATTCAACCATAAAAGGAATTTTCATTTGTTTATAGTAAGTTTTAACAAATTCATATAAATGTTTTGTTGGATGGTTGTCCATAAAACCATCTAACTTTGGTTTATTCAATCAGTCCTGTATGCCTTGAATTAATTGGCCCCTAAAACTACAAATTCCTGAAACATCTCTTTTAAAACATCCTGCTTTTTAATATAGCTTTGTTCCTTTGATCATATTTGCTTTCACATGTAGGATCTCAGTAAGGGTACAAAAAATTCAGGGGAGACCATTTTCCCCATTATTCATCCCAATTAGAAACTCTTTTATCTGAAATGCTTTTTATTCACTGTCTGAGTTCACAAAACATACAGGGCTAAAATGTGGTTAGTTTGTGGATTAATTTCATATAAACCATTCAAAAATTTTAGGGCTGATCTCATCAGATAAGAGGAAAGGGATTGCTACCTTAAGAATTCACTGCATTCCACGGTTTAAAACAGGGCTTGATTCCAAATGACTATTTAGGATTGCGACTTTTAAGTAGCATAATTTAGGAAGCTACTGAGTTTGAGAATTGTAGCCTAAAAGGTGTACAACTCATTACTCTGCAAGCTAGACTGGTGTCAGCCCTGTTCCTGCGCCCTGTCAGATGTTTCCCAAGGTGGAAATCACTGTTAGATCTCTGTTGCTTCTAAACTGCCAAGCGGAAAAGGGTAATAATTATCTGAAACTCTCTGCACAGGAAAGAAGGAAAAGAAGGTCGGGCCGTCTGCAGCTCCAGCTCAGCAGCTCTGACCCCACTCAGTCCAGGCTCTCCACCCACATTTTCCTGTTTTCTCCGGAGGGGGTGGCGGCGAGGTCACCGTCCCAGAGAAACTGCAAGAGGGAAGCGGCAGCTGCTGGGAGGCGAGGAGCCGCGAAGGCACCTGCCGAGGCCCGCGCAGAGGAGAAAAGGAGTCGCTCCCTGGCGCTAAAGAAGCGCGGCTTCGCCCAACGGGACCGGAGGCGGAGCCGGACGGGCGCGCCACCCAGAAGAGCACGCTCGGCGGCCGCGCGGTGACCTAGCTTTGGCAGCGCCGAGACGGTTGGCTTCTGCCTGGCGCGACGCGCAGCGAATGGGAAAGCCCGCTTTACCCGGGGCCAGAGCGAGGGAGCGTCAGTCAGTCTCCCGCCCCCCCGTATCGCAAGAGGCGTCGTCACGCCAGGCGGGCGGCGCGAGGGAAAAACCGCTTCGGCGGTGGCGGAGACGCGACTCTTCGCCGAAGGATGAGCGAGCGCTTCGTGAAGCATTTTTTATAAACCTTCGCCGACTCCCCCTCACTGGTTCCGTCTACTGACTCGCTCTTAGAAGCACATCGCCCTGGTGACGGGGGATTACTCTCTTAAACAACCTGCATGTAGATACTCCATCCCAATAGATACCCCCGCGAGCAAAAGACCGCCCGTTTTAGACTGTAATTATGGAAGCCAATTATTCCTCAATTTTTAAGCCACAGGCTCAGAAGACGGTACGCTGGCGTCTGCGTTTCAGTCATGCAAATACATTCAGGCAATTCTTTTTTGGGGAGCGCGCAAAGCCCGACCAAACAGCCTCGCTGAGTGCTCCCCAGTAAATCCGCGTCAGCTTGCGCAGCAACTTGATTTCCAGGGCACTCCTGCCCGAGTCGAGCGTCGGCAACAACCTTTCGCCTGCCAAACTCTTCCCGCTTCCCTCCTCGTTTTCAAAGCCGGTGGGGTTTTTTGTTTTGTTTTGTTTTTTGAGCAAACAGCGAGGCGGGAAGGCAGCGCGGACTGCCGCGAAACGCCACGCGACTCCTGGCCGACGATCGCAAAGGGGCGTGGAGCGCTGGCTCTCCCGCTGGACGAGAGTTGCAGAAGCGCGCTCTCCTGACCGGATTTGCCGCCTAAGTCATGGGACTCCAAAGTTAGCGATTTTTAAGTCTTGTGGACTTCAACTCCCAGAAATCTCCGATCAGCCATGCACAGAAAACTATTCTGTACTAGCCAGGGAATTCTGGGAGTTGAAGTCTACAAATCTTAAAAGTTGTCAATGTCGGAGACCCCTTAGTGTGGCCCACCGGCCTCGATTATGTTGAGGGGGATACCATCTGAAGTCACCTCCCTATTTCTGCTTGGGCCTGAGCCTCAAGGAAGATCCAGTTAAATGACTTGTGGATGGATGCCTTTAGGGCAGTGGTTCTCAATCTTTTTAATGCCATGACCCCCAACTGGTCGTAAGTCGAAGACTACTCAACTGGTCGTAAGTCGAGGACTACTCAACTGGTGCAGCACCGTTTGCAGAATGGGACTTTTGGCGGGCTCAGCAGGGTAGAGACAGCCTGGACATTTCCTATTGGCTTTGAAAGCCAATAGAATTAGACTCTATTCAAGAGAGTCTATTCTATTGGCTTTCAAAAGCCAATAGAATAAAAGGGAGTAACACAGCTAAGGAAAAGGGGGAAAAAATGGCGGACTGCATTGTTTGGCGACCCCCGTGAAATGGTCGTTCGACTCCAAATGGGGTCCCGACCCACAGGTTGAGAACCACTGCTTTAGGGTATGGGTGAACCATGGCACCTGTCAATTTTTAGAATTTAAATCCCAGTTGTGCAATAATTGATACTGAAAGCAAATGTTTTGATGAAACTGACAAAAAAGTGGGGCTTTACCAGTCTTCCTGGAAGGTGGAGGAGGGAGGGAGGGAGGGAAAGTATATTTGGCCTACATTTTAGATAAAGTTGCCAAAGGCTTTCTCTTTTCTCTTTGCACATTAAACCTCCTTCTCCAAAGCTACCAATGCAAATATTAACCAGATCACCACCAATATATATGAGTCATTATAGTAAATTTTTATGATCTATTAACAATCACCTTGGTTAATTTGATTCAGCAGGATTGGACCTAGTGAAGCTGAATGGAAGAAATAGTAGGATAGCTATTGCACTAGAGCAGGCATCTCAAACTCACAATGTCACATGATGTCACGTGACGTATCACGACTTTTTCCCCATTGCCGGCAATGTGGGCACGGTTTCGGTGTGATGCATCCGGCCCGTGGGCCGGCAGTTTGACATGCCTGCACTAGAGTGCAAAATGAAAAGAAGAAGGTGGGGGAAGGAGAAGGGCAATCACAATCGTCTCCCTGTTGCCTCTGATAAAGCTACAAGTAGTCTTAAACGTAACAATCAAAATCATAACCCAAAAATATGGTTACAAATTATGGCGGTCATTAAGTGAAGCGCTCATGCAATTGGTTCGCTTAATAACCACCATCTCTGCACTCCCCATTGAAATTGTTAAGTGGGATTGTTAAAAAGAATATAGGTACAAGGAGGAGGAAGCCTGCAGGCCAGGGCCATAGTTCACACATGACCTTCCCTGGGCCTTCTCCATAACAAGACCCTCCTTGCAGATTCCAGCCCCACTGGGTCCCACACCTTTGCCCCACCCCCACCGCACTAAACACCTTGTTCCACTTTTCCAAAGATTTCCCTTTGAAAAGAAAACTGGCTTACTGACTTGCAAGAATTGCAACCATTTCCAAAATGACACCTGCTTCCTGGATGGAACCATGTGGCCTCTGTACAACAGGAAAGCCACGCAGCAAATAGACCAGCTGTCCTTAAGACAGGCATTCTTCAGAAAAGATAAATGAAGTGAGGCACGATGGGATGGATGAAGTCCAAGGGTGTGGCACTCAGTGGGATGGGAAGCAGGCCCAAGCCTGTGGAGACCCAGCTGGATGGGAGGTAAGCCCAAGGGGTTCAGGTGGGTAGGATGGAGGGGGCAGAAGATAGGCAGGTGAGGGCAGCTGCAGTGTCTCTGCCATTGGTTGTGAAGGTGAGAGGATTGCAAAGCATCTAAATTTTATTCACATGACTGCAGGTGCTCTTTAGTGACTATCACTTTGGGTCCACATTTTCAACATTTACTGAATAAATGATGATAAGTTGAAGACTACCTGTAGTTGGATGTCACTAGCAGTCAAGTTTGAACTGAAGCAATCGTCACCAATTAGGGAGTTTACCCCAACCTTTGTAAGCCGCCTAGAGTCGCCTTGAAGTGAGATAGGCAGCCAACAAATCTAATAAATAAAATAAAAATAAACCTGATGACTGCTCCATACAATCTAGCAGTGACACCCCCTGCATTTGTGCAGCACTACAATCCTGTCCTTTCAAAATCCAGAGAAGGAACCAGATCCATTAAACCCATAAAGTGCAGGGGGCTAAATATTTACCATTATGGGAGCTCCATCTTGAGACAAAGTGAGCCAGCCAAACAAACAGTGTGGAAAAAAGATCTTTATCACTAATAACAAACTCACCTGTCAAAGTCTTTGTTGCATAATATTCAGGGTAAAGTGCTCCTGAAATAAAGATATAATACTGTACATATGAAGCTGTCAACTGTCAATTCAGGAAAGTTGCTGTGCCTTGAAAAGTGGCTCAAGAAATACAGAAGTAGGATGATAGTAGTTGCAGGTAGGAACACTCCTTGGTTTATAACTATTTAGTTGAAGACTTGTGTAGGAAATTAATTAAATTAGGCAGATCAACAGCTAGAAGGATCCTGGTTACTGCTACTAATCATAGGGTGAACTACCAATGTTCCAAGTCATGCAGTGACTTAGCAAAGGACTGATTCCCTTTACTTAAAGTGAATGTATACCTCTACATCCCAGCACATATTTTGCTGGGAACATTGATATGTAGGGCTATGTTTGCAAGTCTTAAAATGCATGAAAAGGCTCTATAAATAATGTTTAAGATTATTGCATAAAATGTTTTCAGTTCAATTTGTGAGAATTTAAACAGATGCTTGCTATTTGTGAAGATGAAAATTATGTGCAGCATCCAATTGACCCAGCAACAAGAAATGCAAGAAACCTATTTATATTTAAGTGAAAAAAGAATTAGCTTGCTAGCAATGTGGACAAAGTGTTATGTGTGAAACTTTCAGGCATGGTAGTTTTAGAGTGGGGGGAAAAAAGGGGAGTCAAGAAGGCTGTTTCCATTGATCCATCAGATCTTTAGATAAGAATTCTTTTAATTAAGCAGGTGAGTGCGCTTTAAAAAATAATTTCAATGAATTGCTGTATTGTCATGATTTTTCTGTCATCCTTATTCATGCTTGAATTTGTAGTTGATATGAAATATCTGCTCGAAGCAGTATGAGCCAGACAGTTCATTCCAAATTTCGATTTATAATGACGACATCCAATGTTTGGAGCAAGTCTGCCAAATGCAACTGAACTTAATTTTTATTTATTATTAAGAGAAATGAAATACCAATAAAGGAGAAATGAAATAGCTGTAGCTCAATAAATATTACAGTGAGTGAGCAGTACCAGACTGGAAACCTAGTTTAAACTGTGGTTATATTTTAATGGAACATTCAAGGTGTTAGTATAAAAAATATTTTCCATGGACAATGTGGTGGTATGCAGTCAAAAAAATATACTTAAAGAAATAGCTATGTTCTACCTTTCATTACATAATTCAAGGTAGTTTCCATAAATCAAGAGACATACAATAATGTGATATATAAAATAAATTTATCTATAATTTCCACAGCTTTCTAAAATCTGACTTGGCTTTATGTTTTTGCTGCTTTTTTTGCTGGCTTTCAGGCCTTGTTGGTAGTACTGTAATGCTCTAATTCTTCATCCCTGGGGCCCTAGAATTGCAGCCTAAGATTGATTTAGAAACAGGGATGGAACTGGCTCAATCCCTTTAGAAAAGTCTTCCATTAGAATGAATCAACCCCAGAAAAGGGCTTCTGTCTTTTGCCTGTTAACCTAATAGATCTTACCGCAGTCCCATTAACAAGGTGCCTGCGGAGATCTCAAGCAGGTCTCTTTTTTGAGAAAAGAACACCTGTGCCAGGAAGAGTAGTGCATTCCTTTGCTGAAAAACGGATTGTTCTGTCTTGATCAAAACAATGTTGACCTGGCTAAGTCATGATTTCAGTCAGTGTACCCCATCCTTTATCCTTCCAGCATTCTTTTTTGTCCTGTGAATTGTACTATAAATCTGAAAAAGAAATTAAAAATTGGAATTAAACAGAATATATCATCAACTGTTCTTACAAACAGCAGAAGCTTTTATTATTTTTATTTACCAGTCAGAAAATGTTCAGTTATTACAATATCTACAGTATATCTCAGGAAGAATGTTATAGAAGGCCAGGTGCTGTGTTATCATTTATTGTTTTGCCTGCAGTTGGAATAGCTGGTGTCAGTTAATAGTTTACTTGCTATCAAGTATGTTATTTCCTTTTTGCTGTTTCCTGACTTAGTTCTAGAACATTGTACTATTGAACAGGCGTGCATGTGCATTAGAGGCTGAATTTTAATGCCACTGCTTATTTGGAAATTAAGCCATTTATGGTTTAGAGATTAACGCTTGTACAGTAGGTGAATTGAGCATTATTATTAATATTTTCTTCCATGTTCAGGAACAGCATAATGTATGGAGTCAAACAGTGCCTAGAAGCAGAAAAACAGCTTCATGAACAGGCCTACTGACACCTCTTTTCTCTCTATTTCTAACAGTTTTCCCCAAGTATTTTTCCTACCTATGGCATTCAAAGTATGCTCCTGCTTTGAACTCTGCAGGGGAAAAAGCAGCTGCTAAAGGCAATTGGCACAGAAAGCAGTGTGCAGACAAGTAGTAATTACTGGATTTTTGAGATCGGATTCTTTGCTCAAAGTCTGCTTAAAATAAATGAGTGTTGAGGATCATATTTGCATAACATTTAACATACAGTTTTTGTCCTTACAAACTGGTTTTAAAATGTGCATGGGTGTATTCCTTTTACTACATTGAACATACAAATCATGTTCATTTATTTTGTGTTTGGACTTCAACTACAGGTGAAAACCGGACCATTATTTCATGAGGGAAATGGGGAATTTTCGTTCAGTCAGTTCATTTCTTCTTTGTAGTGTACTCTTGAAACCACTGTTTCTATGTCTGCTATCTTTTTGGTAACATACATAATACCTAAAAATTACCAAGCAGCATTACAATTATTTTTGTAACTAGGCACGCCATCATTTTATCAATACCTTTAAACATTTATGACGTGTTCAGAGGCACACAGTATGCTCTCTCTTGTTTTGCAATACTTGGAAGAATAATTGTTCCTGGAGTTTTGTCTCTATGTGTTTATATAAACCAAATGAACTTGGCACGTGTCCTGTTATAAATTACCCTTACAAGGTGAGGTTTTTCTGGTTTGTTTTTATTTTGCCTTTGGTTTTTTGTTTTTTTTTAATCATCTGACCTAGCCAGATACCTGTGCTTGAATGAACACAAACACTCAGTGTGGAACTTCAATGAAACCGCTTACTGTGGTAAAAAACAATATGTGCTATATGTGTGTGTACATGTATTCAAGAAGTCATCTCTAATGTTGATATTAATGTTTAATTAGAGTATTTTGCTAACCAGGCCATCTCTTGTCCAATAACAAATGTGTAACAATATGGCAGTTGAGCAGTTTTATACTTTTGCACAGATGGTTTAAGAGCTTTGCTGTTCAAAACAGTTTGGGGAATAATTTTTAAAAAAGTAAAAGATGGCTTCCCTATAGATTGACATTTTCCATGATAAATCTGGGAAAAAGGCTACATAGTACAGTTTTTCAAAGTGAAATAGAAAAATGTTAGTTTTCAAATGTCAGTGCAACTGCATAACAAGAAAAATAGTTGTTATGCTATACATGTTTTGTATTATATATTTAGGATAATTTTTTCCATATTTTCCATATGCTGAATGGTTAAATAGCAGATAAAATATTTTTTATAGACTTAATAAGTATGTTTATTTTTTTTAAAAAAAATCTGTGCCATGTAACAAAACTAAGGCTCAGAAAAACGCCCAAATAATCCCTGTTAGGCCCCTGTGCCTATAAAGAAAGGTAGTCTATCAAAATATTTACAGTGGGAATAGAGATCATTATTTATTTCAAGGATCATTATTAACTATGGTGAAGTGTGTATCAGAATATTGAGGCTTCCTGGATCCTGGCTTGCTCCTTTTCCAGGACCTCTTTCACAGAAAGAACTTAAAAATATCAACCAAATTCTTTCCAGTTTACTCAGTGATATAATCAAATAAACATTGTCTTGGTTTCCTCCCCTTTCCACCTTCCTTGTCCATATTTTCTTTAAAGATTATGCAGATACATAAATATAACAACACATCTATATTCTATGGAAATTGGGATGCCATGCTTCTTTTAGAGCTTAATAAATTAAAATGAGTTGGTAATGACTGAGCAGAACAACCGTTTAAATACAGGACCATTCAACAGAAAGAAAGGAACAACAGAAAAAAATTGTTTTGTTGCAGAATTGATTGCAATCACCCAATATGCTTGATGTGACATTCTTATTTAAAGGTTTTAGGGGTGGGGAGGGGTATGAGCTAATTTTAACAGATTACTTGTAAGCAGTCCTGCATATGTTTTCTTAGAAGTAGTTTCCAGCAAAATGTTCAGATAAATATGTATAAAATTGCACATATGCTGTAGTCCTATACCTGCACAAATTTGCAGATTAAGAAGCGGGCATTTGTTTGAAACATCCTTAGTTTTTTTTAAAAAAAAAAATCTTCAAAAATTAAGTGAGTAAAGAAAAAAAAGTTAATTGTAGTGGAACTCAACCTTCTTATAAGGTTTTAAGTATTGGGGCATTCTGCTCTTTCAATGTTGCTGATCATGAAACTCTGAGCATATTCAATTGAATGTGCACACAGAATCCTCATTTCTTTGGACTGAAAATACAAGGGGACTCTATGAGATAATCAGTTGTCTAGGCTGGGACATTGCAGGCAAGGCTGATAGCCTGGAAGGAAATCGTCTCCAAAGGGTATAACAAGGGACCATTCTCCGTCAGTACAAACCTCCATTCTCTTTTCAGTTTTTCCACTGAAAAGGTAGCTTAACTCGCAGATTTTGTGTTCATGCTGTGACTAGGTGTTGGTAGTTGACAATGACAAAGGCACAGTGGAGAACACGGGGTCAGCACCTTCCAGGCCACTATTGCGTGTTCACCCACTCTCTCATTGACCTGCCTCATAGGTGAAATAGCATCAGGGAAATCTATACTGGAAAATTTCTCTGAACATTATATATGAAGATCCTTTCTGTGTAATCCAGAGACTTGGGAATGTTATAGTCCGTCCCTTATTTATTAAGAACACCAATGGATTATGAATCATTATAGCTTTATTTAATGTTGTAAGAACAGATGGTATCATCTTTGGATCCTTCTTAAAGAGATATCAACAAAACTTTTCCCTAGTGCTTAAAATAGTGATGTCACAAGAGTACCCACTCTTCCCTTTTTTATTTTATAAATTTTAAATAACCCCTTTTCCAGCCTCTGTCAACAGTGTCATTTTTTTTCATCTTTCTCTGCCTGTGTTTTTATAGATTTCTGGTTCCTTTCCTTATAAAGTAATGTCCAGTTAAT